GCGGGGGGCATGGCTAGAGGGCACTGGCTTCTCTTGCAGAGGGAAGGCTAAGAACACAGACTGTTAAGTCAGGTTTGAATTCTGGCTATGCCACTTACTAAGCTGTGTGACTTTGGGCTAGCTTCTGAACCTCTCTGTGCCTCAGATTATTTGGCCATAAAAGGGAGTTAGTGTTACAGTACATTTACCTCATAGGGTTGATAAAGTTCTGTGTATGAAAAGTACTCAGGGCCAGGGGCGGTGGCTCACACCTGTAATCCCAGCACTTCGGGAGGCCTAGGCGGGTGGATCTCCTGAGGTCAGGAGTTTGAAACCAGCCTGGCCAACATGGTGAAACCCTGTCTCTACTAAAAATACAAAAATTAGCTGGCTGTGGTGGCACCTGTAATCCCAGCTACTTGGGGGTCTGAGGCAGGGGAATCGCTTGAACCAGGAGGCGGAGGTTGTAGTGAGCCAAGATCACGCCACTCCAGCCTGGGTGACAGGGTAAGACTGTCTCAAAAAGAAAAAAAGAAAGGTACTCAGAACAGTGCCTGGTACATACACGTTAGCAGAAGAGGAAGGTGCTGAGTTATGCTTCTCAAACCATGAATTGTCACCTGCCTTAGCATTACGTGAAGTGCTATTTAGCATGCAAATTTCTAGGCCTGAACCCAGGACTTACTGAATCAGAACATCTGAGGGTGGGACTCAAAAGTCTGTATTTTGAATGTTTCCCAGGTAATTTTTAACTTCACTAAAATTGGAGCCCTACCACTCTTAAGTTGCTTTTACATAGTTGTGTCAGGGGCAGGCCCCCTTGCCTCCAGGAATGCTGGGAATCCTGCCTCGGGGCCTCTCCTCCGACATCTCTCTCTCCCATAGTCTTCGGGCTGGGCAGGGAGGGCCTTGGCCCTAATGCCCATCCTCTCCCCACAGGTGGATGTGGACCTGGCCAAGCAGTGTGCAGAGCTGCCCGAGGAGGATGAGGAATTGCGCAAGAAGCTGTGGCTGAAGATCGCACGGCACGTGGTGCAGGAGGAGGAGGATGTGCAGACAGCCATGGCTTGCCTGGCTAGCTGCCCCCTGCTCAAGATTGAGGATGTGCTGCCCTTCTTTCCTGATTTCGTTACCATCGACCACTTCAAGGAGGCAATCTGCAGCTCACTTAAGGCCTACAACCATCACATCCAGGAGCTGCAGCGGGAGATGGAAGAGGCCACAGCCAGTGCCCAGCGCATCCGGCGAGACCTGCAGGAGCTGCGGGGCCGCTATGGCACTGTGGAGCCCCAGGACAAGTGTGCCACTTGCGACTTCCCCCTGCTCAACCGCCCTTTTTACCTCTTCCTCTGTGGCCACATGTTCCATGCTGACTGCCTGCTGCAGGCCGTGCGACCTGGCCTGCCGGCCTACAAGCAGGCCCGGCTGGAGGAGCTGCAGAGGAAGCTGGGGGCTGCTCCACCCCCAGCTAAGGGGTCTGCCCGGGCCAAAGAGACCGAGGGTGGGGCTGCCACCGGGGGCCCCAGCCGGGAACAGCTCAAGGCTGACCTGGATGAGCTGGTGGCCGCTGAGTGTGTGTACTGTGGGGAGCTGATGATCCGCTCTATCGACCGGCCCTTCATTGACCCCCAGCGCTACAAGGAGGAGCAGCTCAGTTGGCTGTAGGAGGGTGTCACCTCTGATGGGGGGTGAAGAGTGGGGAGCAGCGGCTTGAACCCACTTGGGAAGGCTGCCTCCTAGGCTATGCTCAGTCATCTTGCAGTTGCCAGACTGACCACGTTGACAGGAGTAGAAGTAGTGCTGTTGGTCAGGAGGTGTTGGGTGTGAGTGTATTCTGCCAGCTTTTCATGCTGTTCTTCAGAGCTGCATTTACACCAGGCCACCAGCCTGCCTCCTGGTAGAGGCCCTTCAGCTAGAGAAGTCAGAAATCTGACCCTCTTACCACCCCCTACCTCTAGCGGCTCTCCTGTCCCTGTCACTCCCCACACACATCCTGTTCAGCTTTTCGAGAGTGAGTACCTTTTTTCTGTCTGTTCACTCTGAGGCCTCTGGACCCCCAGCTCTTCTCCCTCAGAAGAAGCCTCTTCTTCCTGCCTCTAGATGTCCCAGAAGTAAGAAGGAAGCCTTCAAAGTCCTGGGCATTGTGTGAGAAGGTGATGCTAGTGGGGGCATGCTTTTGTGCACACTGTCTGGGGCTCCAGTGTGAGGGGTGCGCTGGGGCCAAGGGCCTTGTGGAGGGTGGTGGGTGATGGTGATGGAGGTGGAGAGCATTAAACTGTCTGCACTGCACTGGTGACTTTGTGTCTATGCTGGGCTGAGCGGCATGTGAGTGATCTTCAGGCAGGGCTGGAGTGTCACAGGGAGGCTGCCAGGCCCTACATGCCTCCAAGCCTTGGCACACAGTCCTTTACCTTGTCCCCCAACTCTACCTCTCCAGGGCTCATTGGGGACTGCAGCCAACCAGCCTGAATTGTGAAGTAGGGGCTGTTCTTCTGTTTGGCCAGCAGATGGTGCTGCTCCCCACATAATCCTCTGCTTTTGGGCAGCTGGGAGCAGTGATTTCCCTCCATTAGTGCTTCCTCAGTCTGTTCCCTCCCAACTTGTCCCAAGAATTTTCTTGAAGTCTCCACTGTCTAACCATAACTTAAAGTCCCTCCTTCCTCCTCCCTCCAGTAGCCCTCACACATGCTAGACTTTGCTTGCCCCTCTTCCAGCTTGGATCCCTGCCTTCCCAGCTCCTGCCTGGCTTTGAGACAGCCCCGCCACTCTCTGCTATCTAACCACAATGTTGAGGCCCAGTACAGAGGGGAAACTGCTGCAGCCTGTACCCATGGCCTTTGGCAGACATGTTTTCTTCTCATCTTGTTCCTGTGACCTGCTCCTCCCCACAAATTACACATTGTTAGTTGTGGCTAAGTCCTAGGGAGTCCTGGAGCAGGGCCTCCCTGTGACATCAGCAGAGCACCCTTTGCCCCAGGGACCGGCGTTCACAGTGCACTGTCCAGCTCTGTGGGGGTGATATATCAGCCAGCAAAACAGTTTCTGGAGTCAGGTCAACCTCGCTGGCCACTGCAGGCTGCTTCCCCTCCAGCCTGATCCTCTTCCTAGCCAGGCACAGGGTGTTATGCCTGTGGTCTTGGCTACTTGGGAGGCTGAAGAAGGAGGATTGCTTGAGCCCAAGAGGTGGAAGTTGCAGTGAATTATGATGTGTACTTCAGCCTGGGTGACAGAGCAAGAACCCCCCTCCCTTTTTTTTTTTTTTTTGAGATGGAGTCTTGCTCTGTTGCCCAGGCTGGAGTGTAGTGGCACCATCTCCACCTTACTGCAGCCTCCACCTCCTGGGTTCAAGGATTCTCCTGCTTCAGCCTCCCTAGTAGCTGAGATTACAGGTGCCCGCCACTACACCCGGCTAATTTTTGTATTTTTAGAAGAGATGGGGTTTCACCATGTTAGCCAGGCTGGTCTCAAACTCCTGACCCCAAGTGATCAACGTGCCGCAGCTTCCCAAAGTGCTGGGATGACAGGCATGAGCCACCTCGCCTGGCCAGAACCCTCTTTTTTTTTTTTTAAATGACTCCTCAGGCTCCCATCTTCCTCCACAAGCAGAAGTGGAAGCAGATGTGGGGGAGGGGTCCCATTGAGTAGAGGGCATCCTAATCCTGTTCTTCCCACCGTCCCAGGGGGTGTGGAGGGCTCCTTCCTTCTCCCCATGTGGCCTAGGCTCCCCTTACAGCTAGCCATAGTCAGCAGAAGGCTTAGGGTCTCTGTCCCCCGCATCAGTACTGAGTATAAAGCATTGGCCTGCTGCTGGAGGGGTCACTTTCTTACTTAGAGAAGACAGACTGAAGCTTCTGTCTGCATATAATGGGTGCCTAATACATGGTAGTTAAACAAACACTGCCCTATTGCTCCCTGCTCCCAGAGGGCTTGGCTAAAGCAGCTTGGGACACCCCTGCCCCTTCTGTCTTATTCTAAACCAGCCCATCTGGTCCTAGGCTGCTTCCTCTTTCCTGGAAAAAGGCCCCAGGCTTCCCTGGCAGAGACAGAATAGGGTTCCGGTGAGTCAGGGCAACGGGAAGCCACAGCTCTTAGATCCCTGGAAACCAAGCAAGGCCTGGAATGGAGAGCAGAGCGGAGGCCCTCAGGGCTTTGGCCCTAAGCCTGGGGGAGGGCCAGAAGGGGGTGGGATGGAGGAGCAGCTGTGTGGGCAGGGGCCAAGATGAATGAGCTGCTCCTGGAGCGGTCACTGGAAATAGGAGGAGTGGCCACAGGCAGTGACGCTGGGACCAGGGCAGGAGGCCTGTAAACAAGGAAGCCACCTGGGGGAGAAGCAGGGCGGCCACTGGTCCTGGGGAGCAGGTGCTTCCTGAGGCCCGCCCTGGAGAGGGCCCTGGGGGCCGCCCCGCCGAGTCTGCAGCGGGCGCTAGGGGGCGCCGCCTACCGGCTTCCCGAGCCCACCTTTCCCTGCCCTTGCTCCCGGGGGTGTGGCCGCCGGAGGGAGTGCCAGCCCAGAGTCCCAGGCCCCGCCGGCCTAGCCTCCCTCCCTTCTGACACTGCGGCCGACTGGCCAAGGCATCAGCCCTGGAGAGGGCGTGGGGCTCAGCCTGGCCAGCTTGGGTGTGTGAACTCATTCCTCCGAGACCACCAGTTCTAGTTCCTGCCCCTCCCCCAAAAGGCTTGGGTCGCAGGCTAGGGCCTGGCACCCACCCCAGTGGTTGGGAGGGGGCTCCAAGGCCATCAGGCTTCAGGCTGCTCTTGGCGCTGCCCCCTGGCGCCAGGGAAACAAAAGGTTAGGGGCCCAGAGGGAGTTATCTGGCCCCACCGCCACCGGGTGGGGAAGGGGGCCAAGAGGGGGCGCAGCTCCCCTCCACTCCCCCAGCCTTACTGATTCTTCGAGACACTTTCACAGGCGGAAATTCCCAGAGGTCAGAGGAGGGAAACGGTTAATTCCTTTTATTCAATGGGTCCCCCTACACGCCTCCCCCCAACTTCCTCCCTCCACTTCCCGCCCCCCCCTCGTGTGAACAGGAAGTGGAGAGGAAAAGGCTCTGAGCGCAGCAGCTGGGAGCAGGAGGCAGGGAGTGGGCGGCGGGCTTGGTGCCAGCCCTGCCCCTCATGCTTACTTGCCGGAGGGCCAGGCCAACCACAGCCTGGGAAAGAACCTGCAGCCCCGCTGGCGGGTGGCAGCTGAAGCGGGAAACAGTAAGGTCCATGCCCCCTTTCCTTAACCTGCTCCCAGGTTACAGGCTGCTGTCCTCAGGGTGCCAGACATCTTCTGCTCGAGAGCCAGCTACCCTGGCCACCGAAAGCTCCACCTCCGCCACCAGGCTGGGCATCCCGAGGCTGGCAGGCATCTCTTCAGGCAGCCGCCAGCCCTGGCACTGGCTCCCCCACTCAGCCCCTTGGCCCTGCCAGTCCTTTGAAGCTCATGCAGCGCTTCCTGTTTGGGGCGGGCGATGCCAGGGCCCCTCCCCCACCATTGTTCTGGAGAGACCATAGGTCCATCTGTTGCCCCATGATGGGGCCCCTAGGCAGTGCCACACGGGAGCAGCACCACAAAGGACCCTGCTGGCAGCTTTGCTTACGTGGGGTGAGGCTGGGCCCAGCGGCAGGTCGAGGGTGAATGGTGGTTAGAGGCAGGCCTGGAGTGGGCAGTGGGATAGGAGGATGCTAGAAAGTTCTGGGGCTTGGGCAGCTGGAGCCCTCAGCTTTCTCCTCCACCTGGAGCGGGGAGATGATATTCAGGGAGCCATGCATGCTTGAAGCCACCAGGAGAGGGCCACCATTCTCACACCTGGATTCCCACAAGGAAATCTGAGGCAGAGGGGCAAACTTTGGTCTAGGATGGCCAATAAAAGGGGTGCAAAATAGGGTTGTCATTTCAAGGGGATCAGCCCCACTCTCCGAATGCCTGGTAATTCCTCTGAGCAGCTTTGCCATGGCTCAGCATTCACCTTGAACTAGCCCTTACTGAGCAGTCAGAAACCACACCGTGAGGTCAGGAGAGGTTGCACGGCCCTAGTTTGGTGGCCAGCAACCCGTGTCCACAGAGAATAGGCTTGGACAGAGAAAAGGAAAAGGGGCACTGGTCTGGCCTCCAGGAAGCTGGCTGCTGCTCCTGGTTACCAGGCTGCTATGGCCAAAGGTCTGTGTTTGCCAGGTGCAGAGGCAGGTGCCTACAGCTCACCTTCCCTCTGTGCCATGATCTCCCAGCCCTGACCTCCACCTGCTCCCTCCTGGCATCTCCACAGGGCTGGAAGGTGAACCCCATTTCCATCACCAGATCCTCTGGTTTCTCTTCTCAGGCTAGGACCTAAACTGTTCACAACTCCCAGGAGGCCAGAGCTGCAGAGACTTCAGGTAGACTGTAGAGTACTGTGGAAGCCTTGTTCAAATAAAAACTTTCATGAATGTCCAGTACTTGAAATTGATATGCTGAGATTCTCCAACAGAATCTGGGCTGGAGTGACCCACACCCCTGTTCACCCAGCCTCTTCTCTCCTATCTCAATCTCTCTCTCTCTTTAAATAGAAATAAGGCCTTGCTCTGTTGCCTAGGCTGAAGTGCAGTGGTGTGATCATAGCTCACTGCAGCCTTGAATTCCTGGGCTCAAGCGATCCTCCCACCCCAGGCTCCCGAGTAGCAGGGACTACAGTTACCATGCCTGGCTAATTTTTTATTTTTATTTTTTGTAGTGATGGGGGGTCTTGCTAGGTTGCCCAGGTGGGTCTTGAACTCCTGGCTTCAAGCAGTCTTCCCACCTCAGCCTCCCAGACTGTTGGGATTACAGGCGTGAGCCACTGTGCCTGGCCCGTTATCGCAATATTTATAAGATGCCAGGATGCCCAGTAACCCAGTTTGAAAGCTACAGTGCTGCTGATCCCACCTCCTGACTTTACAGCTGCTGAATCGCAGAAGAGAAATTGGTAGCTGACAGGAGGCTCCATCCTGGATCCTGTCCCTGTGTATGAGATTCAGCCTTGGTTGACAGTGTTCCCACACTGGTGAGCTGGGCACCATCCTGGGTCCTTCATTATACGTGTTTTCCATCTCCAGCCAAAATGAGTTGAACTGAGGAACAAGGGCGTATTCTGGAAAGGGCAAGTGCAAGTCTCAGCTCTGCCATTACCATCCGTCAGGCTAATCAAGCCCTTGGAACCTCCGTTTCTTCTCCTGTAAAATGTGAATTAACTGTTACAGACCTGGAGAGGCTCTTGTGAGGCTGAAATGAGAGCGGTGCCGCCCATCTGTCATGCTAGCCCAGGACCTGGTGCCCAAGCAGCCCCAACCACTTGCCCCCTTCCACTTTACTCTGTGCCTCCTTCCTGTGGGCCTGGGACCCTGAAAGACCTGTCCCAGCTCTCCCCTCACGAGGCCCTCTGACTTCTTCAGATGTCAGAGTGGAATTGGAAGAAAGAAGCTTGCTTGAGAAGGTTTTTCTGGTTTTGAGAATAATGGTGATTCTTGGGAAAAAAGGTTCAGGATGAGAATGAGAGGAAGCCCACAGGCATCTAGAATATGGCCACAGGTGGGACAGAATGCTTCGTTGGGATGGGGGTCCTGGCTCCCTGAAGGAAAGGAGACAGGGCACTACTCCAGCTCCGGAAGACCCATAGGATTGGCCGAGAGGGCTGGGCAGACAGCACACTGGCTGCTGATCAGGCATGACTCCTCTGCCAGCCTGCACTCGCAGGCCAGCCCAAAACTTGCACAACAGTCGGCCTGGCTGGCACTCTCTCGGGAGCTTCAGGAAGTCCCCCTTGTCCTCCCCTTGACCTTTGACCCCTTGGGCCTGTTGCCAGCCAGAACACTAGGCAGATGTTCTCTTTTACCTTCTGTTCCTCGTAATTTCCCTCTAAGACTGGAACTCAGAGGCACCCCAAAGCCCCCACCTTCCAGCTCATCCTTCCGCATGCTCTCAGTGTGGACCAGCCGGAGCCTCCACTGGGCAGCTCTACATGTGAGCCAGTATGGATCCTTGGCCACAGCCAGCAGAACGCTTGCAAGCGCCCCGACTCCACACATCTTCCCAGGTGTCCTGCCCAACTGTCTCCCTGTCCCAGACCCCAAAAGGTGAAATAGGAACAGCAGACAGAGCCTCCTTCCCTCCCCGGCATCCTCTGAACAGTCAAAGTTGGAAGAACCCTAGACACTGTTCCACGTTAAACCATGCACGCCTCATGGCACTCGGTTTCACAATCAAATAACTCCCTCTGGTTTTCTAGTGGAATTTTTGCTTTTATTTTATAGGGCTTCTTGGCTTTTTTTTTTAAGCAATCAGTCTAAATTTGTCATCACACATCCCCCATTTCCGCCCCTAAGGGCCTCCTTTTCATCCCCTGGAATCTGGAAACCATATGTGTGGGCAGAAACCCCCAAGCATCCCCCACTGCACCCTGGCCCAGCCTGGCCTCCACAGGGACAACTGTGTTAGTTGGGGAAGAGTCTACACTCCACGCTGGGGCTAGAAAGGGAGTTTCTCTTTGGACCTTCCCAGCGCAAGCCATGGAGAAGCCGTGTGGTCTAGTGGTTAGGAATAGAACAGATGAGTTCTGTTCCCAGCAATCTCTTTGACTAACACCAGAAGCCTGGGAAAGTCCCTTTAGCACCTAAGGGACTCAGTTTCCCCACCATCTGAGGGTCTCAGAGTTTCGCCAGCTAGGTCATCTCCTACCTGCCTTGGTGGAGTTTTTGATCCGGAATTTTACTATGTCACTTACAAGTGGTTTGACCTTGACAAAGTGCTTAACCTTTCTGAACCTCAATTTCCTCATCTATAAATTAGAGACTATTATTGTACCTACCACCTGGCTATAGTTGGAATTAAACAAGGAAACATATTCTCAAGGGCCTTGCACCAGACATACTGTGAAAGGTCAAGAAGCAGTCCTTGTAATTGTTAATAAGTAAAAAAGCACAAAGAGGTGGGACTGTGTTCTCAGCAGGCCTGCCCTGAGCAGGACCTGTCTGCCTCAGGCTCTCCTGCTCTAGCTGCCTTGTCCAAACCTTCCCTGGGCTTCCTCTGCTCTGGAGGGCAAGGATGCATTACCAGTCATTGTGCATCAGGCCTGAAGCCTGGCTGCTCGTCCCTGTCTCCATGACGACCCCAGCCCCGCCCCTCCTTCCTTCCTTCAGAGCTTTCTGTTTACTGTAAACAGCTGCCCCAGCTCAGCTCTAGCTGATCCGCCCCCACCCCCCCAACAGGGCCAGCCAGACCCTCTCTGAACCTGGGCCTGGCCTGGTGTGAAGGTCTGTGCACTGTTCCTGGACTCCAGGAGGCCTTGAACAAGCTCCATGTTTCCAACTTGCCTGGTGGGGAGAAGAGGGGGGAGGGGAGGGGCCTGTTACCTCAGACCAGGGCAGCCAGGGCCTCAGAGACAGGGAACAGATGGGGCGTAAAGGAGGAGGACCATGCCAAGGGAGTTTGGTGGAGACCTCTCTGGCCTGGCCTTAGACTGACCTGGGTTCAAATCCTGGCCTAGATTTGCTCACTGCATGACCTCAGGCTGGTCACTTAACTTCTCTAAGCTTCATTCAATTTATTGATTTGTAAAATGGAGGTAATAATACCTCCCTCAGAGGGTTGGCTGCTGTGCAGATTGGTAATAATGCACACAAAACCCCTAGCTCAGGTCTTGACATACTGCTAGCCTACAAAGATGGTGTCTGGACTATTATTTCACTTCTCAGTTCCTCTCCTTCTGCTCAGCTATCTTGCATAAATCCCTGCCTGTTCCTTGACCTGGCATGCCTCCAACATACAAGCCTGCACATACATATGCACAAAACACATATACACATGTACACAGCAAACATATGAGGTGGGTAATGAAATGAAACTCACAAGCATGTCTGAGGCACAGGAGACTCCATGAGAGCAGAGGAAGAGTCTGTTTCCTAAGCCTTCCACAGGCCTGAGCTGGGACATGTCTGTGTGCCATCATCACCAGGGCACTATGACTTCCTCCCTTTTCCTCTACCTGGTCTCCAGGATTGCACCCACCCTCCCTGCCCAGTGGAGTGCAGTGTAGGGACACAGGGAATGCTGTATGGGATGGCTCCCCTTTCCTGTGGGCCAAGCTTTCAGGGCAAGATGGTCTGGGATGTGAGCCTCCTGGCTCCCAGCTCCTAAAGGGTCCATGTTGGCTCCCTTGACTCTCCAGCATCCTTGGAAGTCCTGTCTAATTAATGCTGCCTTGTGAGATGAGATTTAGACCTGCCGTTTCTCTTACCACCAGGTCCGCCCAGCAGCCCTGGGGCAGAACCTGGGGTTAAGCAGGGGCATTTATCGATTTGAGTCATTTCCCACAGGCCCATGAGTAAGTATGGTTCTGGATTTCCAGACCCCTGTCCCCTTCCTGAGATGCCTGTTGGGGTCTTCCAAGGCTGGGTCTCTGTTGGTTGCAGGTACAGCCCTGAGGTTCTCTTGAGCAGGGAGTAGCAGTTGGAGGCTTGTGAGCCTAGCTCAGTCCACTGCCCTCACACGCTCTTGCCCACAACCAAGTCTAACTCCGGCATTTGTGTGCTCATCCCAGCCTGGCTACATGAGAAAGAAGAGGAGCCCCCAGAACTGAAGTCAGCCCCGTGGGTTGGGCTGGAATTCCCCCACTTCTTACCTTGGCCGCTTGAGGAAACAGCCTCCCGGCAGAGAGCCGCCTCCCGCCAGGGACTTTTCTCCTGGGGATGACATGGAATGCAAGGCAGCTATGGGGACCCCAGCCTCACCCAGCCACACATCAGCCAGCCCGAGGGGCAGGGGAGTGTGGCAGTCAACACAGGACCACTCTCTCCCTGCAGGGAGCATGGCAGCCAGGGTCCTAGAACTCATCTGAGACTTACGCAGGCCTAAAGCAGGAACAGGGAGAAGGAGGCCATGGGGACCAGTGGTGGCCAGGAAGGTCCAGACTGCTGCGTGGTCTGTACCTGGAACTCACCAGCCCCTCCTCCACACTCCATTCCTCGACCTCAGGACCCAGCCTGAAACTGCTTCCAATAGAATGTAAAACCCTCACTCATCTTCCAGGATGGTGGGCTCTAGACTTTTTTTAATTTTTTAACAGAGGAGGGGGGGTCTCACTATGTTGCCCAAGCTGGTCTTGAACTTGGGGCCTCAAGTGATTCTCCCACCTTGTGAAATTACAGGCATGACCCACTGTGTCTGGCCTTCCAAACTTTTTTGATTGTGAATATTTATGTATAGATTATAAACTACAGTCAAAACACATATTAAATATTATTAAAGTTTTGTTTTCTGTTTTTTGCTTTTTTCTGGAGATGAAATTTCACCCTTGTTGCCCAGGCTGGAGTGCAGTGGCGCTATCTCTGCTCACTGCAACCTCCGCCTCCCAATTTCAAGCGATTGTCCTGCCTCAGCCTCCTGAGTAGCTGGGATTACAGGTGCCCACCACCACACCCAGCTAATTTTTTGTATTTTTAGTAGAGACTGGGTTTACCATGTTGGCCAGATTGGCCAGGCTGGTCTCGAAATTTTGACCTCAGGTGATCCACCTGCCTCAGCCTCCCAAATTGTTTTTTAACTAAGAAGTAAGTCAGAATAGAAATCATGTTTCCTCCCAACCCCGCAACAGATGCCTCACTGGCCCCATACAGGCCACTGTGGTGCACACCTTGTGGAGAGAGGAAAGCAGGAGAGCCTCTCGAAGCAGACCATCACTCTGGAGGACACAGGGCATGAGGGAGCGACGGCTTTTCTTAATCCATTGCCAACCACAATTGAGGAACCCACATTTGAAGCCATTCTATTTGTTGTTGTAAACTTGAAAAGAAACTTGGTCATCTTAGGCAAGACCCTGTTGCTTTGGTGGTGGCTGTGAGCTGCCAGTCCCTACCTCACAGGCCCGGGCAGCCTGTGCCTGCCTAGGACCACAGCACCCAATGTAGAAAGTGAGAGTTTATCGAGGAACACGCAGCCTCTGTGTGCGGGGGTGTGTGCGTGTGTGTGCACATTCATATGTATACATGCACATGCTGGCCCAGCGTGTGTCATTCTAAGAAAACCTGCCTGGTGATGGCCTCTGCTTTCTGGTCTGCTCATCTTGGAGTCCTCATTTATGTCACATAGTAGAGACACCTGCATTAACCCTTCTGACGGAGTCCTAAGAAGCCCTGACATTGAACCAGATGCTTTCTCTGGTCTACATCCTCACCACACG